CCCCAAAACCCCAAAACCCCAAAACCCCTTAATATAAGTATTGAGTTTTATTGGCTGGGAAGAGATTTAAAGTAAATCAAATTAATATTTGTAATAATTATTATTCTCTCGCAAGCTTGATCTTTGATAAATTGTATCGAGAGTTCATCATGAGCAGCAAATCCAAATTAGTCTATAGAAAGAAAAGTGATGTATAAGCCTATCAGGAATAAGTCTAGGACAATTAAGTGACCAGATAGGAAAAAAGGAAAGTAGATCAGAGAAGATCTTAATCCACGAATAAGCAATAATGCATATATCAAAGAAAAGGTGGCGCCCCAATTGTTCAATAAGACTTGTAAGCTGAGTAAAAAGCTCAACCTAATAATCAAGCAAAGATGCAGGATAGAGAGGGGAATGTCTACTTGAATGATAAAGCTTTCCTAGTAGTTGATAGTGGAACTGGAGCTCAAAAATAGAATCAAAGAGCCAAATCAACCTCAAATAATGGCAGATTGAACAACAACAAAAAAGGTAACCAGCCAAATAATCATCAAAGGTTTGACAATAAACCAGTGTATAAGCCTAAGAGCAACAAATTCAGAAACTAAGGCTAGAGAGATCAACAATTTATATAGAACCCTGATACTTATTATGTCTTCTCTGTTGAAGACAACGATATAGTTTAGGATTCTGATAGAGGAGAGGTGATAATAAATAGTCAGGCTTCATTGCAAAATGAGCCAGATTAATAAATATCTATTGTACCTCAAATCGTTTGTGAAGACCTCTCTCCGTTTGGATTGAAATAATACGATGAATTATAGAATATGGATTCTCAGTAATCTGATGATCGATCTACCTCTGCTTAAACATAGAGCTCTTAAAGTAATAGTCTTACTATCAAGACAGAGTAGTCAAAGATTCATGAGTAACTAGAGACTTTCGATTAGATTGTCAAGAGTACATTCGATTCAAATAATCTCAACTACAAAGAGGATGACAGTGCTTCAAAAATGAGTTCCTAACTTACCAATTTCAGTTCTGAAACTGGGATGAGCAGTCAATATAGCCAGAACAAATCTGAGGAAAAATTAGACGCCTAAATCTTGATTCATAAGATCAAAGCAGGAGTCTAGAATAATGTCAATCAAAAGGCAAAGCTGAGCAGATACCAACTGTTAACTTATAGCAGGATAGATCAAATAAGCAAATCTCACAAAAGTTGAATGTGAAAAGAGAGAATAATAAATTTTCAAAGATGATTGAAGCAGCAGCAACTGAAACACAGACAAATAGTCAAAACATATAGAATGTTTGGAACAATCTTCAATCTAAGTATTATGAGAAGCCAAAGTGCTTCCAAGCCCCAAAAGTTCATGAGATACCTTTACCATTATGAAACTAAATCAAAGAGCCCCTAATATTATTACTATCGGTGAGGTGAATCGAACTTGACTCAGTAAGACAAACAAAATACTTTATGAGAGAATTCATGAGAAAGAAATGAAGAGCAACGGAATGATTTGAGAGGCTTAAAGAATAGAACTTGATCATTAGAGATAAAGTCTTTGATGAGCAATATATTCTGTAAAAATGATTAGCTTTAAATTTTATTTCTAAAAATTCTCTCTACTCTTTATTTAAAATCTCAGCATCGCGGGGTTTTGGGGTTTTGGGGTTTTGGGGTTTTGGGG